GTTAAAATTATTAGAGAGATAATGCACTCCTGAAGTTGTTATGTGGCCACGATGCTGCACCTATTAATGGAATGGTCTTTCTCAGTTCTCAAACTGCATTCGATTTTTATTGATTGAACGCAAGCACTTATTGCGATAGAAAACACTGTAACGGTTTCTACTGATTAAGAAATATTTTTGTTTGCTTGGGTGGTAGCTAATGTTAGGCCTATTACATTAATAGGGACGGGGGGCCCAAAAATTTGTTTTGCCTATGTCACGAAAAGAGGTAAATCCGGCCCTGCAAACAGCTGTTCATGCCTGACTTCCTGAATTACTATATGTGCAAAATTCTTCTGCTTATAGAGCATGTAGTCATTCCATACATTTGAATGACCGAACCGTGTTACAGAATGTGCAAAAATCCTTAAAATGCAAAGCACCCATATTTGAATGTAAAGCTGTAAAATAGCAATCCTAATCCCTGTAGCAAAGCAAATATGGAAGCGTCCTTCCTATAGGGAACATTTTATTCCCAGCATATTTTATGTGTGACACCAAACTTCCACATGCAATTAATTATAGTTGAAGTGAAATGAGCCTGCCATCTTCATGAGAAATAAATAGGGACTGTCTAGCCTCTCTAGTGGTTACTGTTTGTTATCAAATCTCCTTTTTAATTTAGAAGAAAAATGAGGTGTTCAATTGCTGTGCTATGTTTTCCCAATTCACACTGCCATCCATAGTTTAGATTTTCTTCACTGATTCAGATCTGCTTTTCTGATTAGTGTCATTCATCTATTTCAAGAGCAGCTTGTACAAATCTCACATTTAAATGAGTTTAATTGATTGCCTTATATAGTAATACCCAGACATCTGGAGTTCATCGTACAATTCCCTGCTCATCATACCAATCGGAGAAAAAGCAAGTCTTCCTTTATTGCTCTTTTTTTATGTGCAACAAGCCAACAACATTCTCTGCAACACATAATTTTTCAAATTAGTATTTTTTTAGCTAATTTATTTTCCATTCTTTAATTAAATAAATGTTAGAAAAAAAAATATATTTATTGATTATCATATCAGATTAGATTAGATTAGATTAGATTAGATTAGATTACTGAAAATATCTATTACCTGAATACCAAAGACCATAGCTTGGATATTATTATATAATAGTAAGTAGTAATAATTGTTGTTGTTGTAAAACCATATTAATATTCTGGCCTATATTCTATGACAAATAGGCTACAGACAATTGAGTGTCTGAACCTATACCAGTTCCCTTCAGTCCGTGTCTGTTCACTGACTTTAAATCAGCTGCACTTCTCATTAGTAAGTCCAAACTGTGACAGCTGTCTGCTCACAGATTTGCTCAAACACAGGTTAAATGCTGGACCTAATGAGGTGCTCTGACCGCTCTAGCTCAGTCACACCAACAGACCTCTCTCTCTCTCTTTCTCTTCCTCCAGTTTGTGATCCGTAAAGAATATGCCTAATCTGAATCTCAATGGTAATAGAATCAGGCCTGGAGAAACTGTGGCATACAGCATGTGGTGTACAATTCACCCATCCTGCAGCAAACTGATGCCATCACATCTAGTGCCAAGATGTCACAATTCTTTTCTATTGCACTAATCTCGCATAGCCAGTCCTTTGACTGAATCACATAAATCTGGTCCATTTATTTATTCTATTCCACTTATTCTAACCAAGAGACACTCACTTAGACAGGATGCGATCATTTGACAGGTGTGTAAAGCGACCAACCACAGTATGTTTCAGTATAGCACTGGCCCGAAAATAACATACGGACATTTCTCAATATGTGTTCTTGTGCGTCCTTGTGTTCTCATTCTACATTATCATTAACTGCCAAAGTTGAATTCTAATACTCAAGAACGCAAGTACAGAGGATTTATGAAAGTACCCGGATGTGTTCATGATATTGAGGATGCATCCATTGTAGACTTGAGAGATTTGAATCGTTGAACCAAAATCCCAGATGGCATCGCAGACTGATGACGTACGGAGGCCTGTAAGCTTTAAAGTTCTCTTGTTCTGACTTGATAGATTCCCGCTGCAAGCTCACAAATACGTGACGGCTCGTAAACATTTCTGCATCCTCATGTCCTTCCGAATTTCCGAGTCTGTTCTTTGCCTCCCATGTCTCTTTGACATTAAATGGGTCATATGATGCGATTTCAATTTTTCCTTTCTCTTCAGCACACCTCGCTTTTTCAGACCAATGAGCTTTCGACACGTTTCAGAAAGGCGGGGCATAGAGGAGAAACAATAATGTACAGTATGTGGAAAATAATGTATTTTTTTAACCTTAAACCGCATAAACACATTTCATTACACCAAATACACAAAATAATGTTCTTTTTAGCATCATCATATGACCCCTTTAAAATAAGCAACTTGCTGTAGGCCAACTATGGAATCACCATGCTGTCTTCTGAGAAACGTTCATCATGGTACCTCATTTTTTACGCACGACTGTGTGATATTCCAGCTAATCAGTTGTTATTTATTTAGCAGTCTATCTGTTAATTTGGGTCAATAACATAAAGGTATTCCCTTGGAAACTGCAATTTAGGATTAGCCATTCAATAACTCTTAATTTGAGACGGCTTCATACAGGAGATTGTACAGTAAATGTCACCATTGTTGCCTTAATGTTAAAGATTAATTAAAGGCCATCTGGTTTAACTAAACAAATGCAATGATTTAATTATGCTACCCCAATTAACCTATTTGTGTATGTTCTCATAGAAAAGATAACAGCCTCGCGTCTCCTGTAATTAGATTGAAGCAATGGTTTTCAATACACTGCCTATGTTCAGCCTCCCGTGAGCTTTGTCTAATGTTGTGACATTATTTACTGACAATACAAGCCTACACACACAGCAGTTAAAGATTTCTACTCGATAAGTGAATTACTAAAATTACATGGCGAGCACCGGAGATCAGATACTATTAAACTGTCAGGTCAAATAAGTGAGAAGTAATAGCATTTGTTGTCCAGCAGGGGGAGGCGAAATACTAAACTCATCCAATCACTGTCATCTAAACATGGCTTCTGATCATTCACAGTAAATACTTTCCAAATAATGCTGTAGAAACCAAGTGAAATAGATCTTTAAATGTTGGCGTTGTAAACTGTGATTAAAGGTTTTTCTCCACATGAGAAAAACCTTTACAAGAACGTCACAAGAATGTTTTATTAAAATAAATAATTTGTTTTATTATTTCTAAAGAATAGTGTTATTTTTTTATAAACTTTGCTCAAATATATCAAAGTGCTCTTCTGATGGAACAGATAAATTCAGTGTCCTCCATTTACAAATCTCAGACATCTCTATTTCATCTTTTGCTGGGGGATCAGAGGTCACAGATTAGCTGTATTATTGATTCCACATCCTTCACACTACACTAAAGTGTCTGTTGAACACTGAATTGAGAAGCAGTGAGTTAGTACACACAGCAAAGAGCAGTAGGATACTGGTGCAGAAAGGTTGCGGTGTTGAAGATATCCGTCGGAGCTCAGTGGCCTCCAGGTTGACAGGCAGTCTTCCTCTGTATTTATGTCAGCGGTGGGGTTGAGTGTCACAGTAAATGCCATTCTGATGTTCCATTTCTCTTCACATGCTCGCTTTGTAAAAGGAATATGACATGCTCTCCCCTTTAGTTGAATTAACTGAGATGATCTAATAACAAATGAGGTTACAGAGAGAATACAGCCAACAATAGAGACCATTACACTCTCAGGGATACATGCATTTATGATTTATTTATTTATTTTTGCATTATTGTGCACTTTTTGTATGGTCAGAAGTATTTGGATTATTTGTGAAAAAAGTATACATGCATTTATGTATTATGAATGAAAACAGGAGTGTTTATTAGTGTCAGGAGCGTTTTAAGATAAAACATTTTTTTTTTTTTAAATACAATTATTTAAAAAGAACTAAAATTCTTAGAATTTTTAAGGGATAGTCCACCTAAATAAATGATTATTTCATTTCAAAAACTTTTTTTGTTTTGTTTTTTATATATATTGCATTTTTGCTTATTTTATTCATGCTTTTATATTTTTGAAAATAAATAATTGTTTATTGTATCTGATACAAACGTGTGAACAAAACTAGTGCTCATTGCTTATATTCATTTCAGATATTCATTTTGGCCAGATCTTGGTGCAGTCCTGCCTCCAACTCTTTGGATGAGGTCCCGTCATGTAGAGGCAGTACAATCAACGGGAGTTTAATCACAGGGTTTTTAGTGAATGATACATCCAAAATAACCTGCAACAGAAAGAACAAACTATACTGTAGATGATTTTAAGAGAGAAACTTACACAGAAATTGAACAGTGAAAAGCATAATTTATTCATGAACGTTTCTTATTTGAAGTAACGTGTACTCTAACACTTGCTTGAGTGACATCGTCTTTTATTTCCATTCCTTTGTTTCATGAAAACACAAAAGCAAACTATAAAAAAAAAAAAAAAGCAACATTTCTGAATGCAAAGTACATCAAACCATTTTTGCTGCTTAAAAGAAATCAAACTAGACTGGAAACCTGCTAGAGGCCTGTCTAGTTTTCGGGTACCTACCTTCAGTCTATACTCTACTTTGAGGATTCGGCAGTTCTGGATGGTGGTGCTGATTTCTGTGGGAACGGCTAATACTTTCGACAGATTCTCTCTGGTGGAGGACACTAAAGGCTCTCCCTTCTCCTTCAGTATCTGTGTGGTGTGAACAGCTCTCTGGCCTCCAGCAAAGAAGCTTTGCTTCTGGTAGATAATGTACTTTGGCACAATTTTTCGAGTTGAGCTGTATATATATATATATATATATATGTATATATATATTGCATTTTTGCTTATTTTATTCATGCTTTTATATTTTTGAAAATAAATAATTGTTTATTGTATCTGATACAAACGTGTGAACAAAACTAGTGCTCATTGCTTATATTCATTTCAGATATTCATTTTGGCCAGATCTTGGTGCAGTCCTGCCTCCAACTCTTTGGATGAGGTCCCGTCATGTAGAGGCAGTACAATCAACGGGAGTTTAATCACAGGGTTTTTAGTGAATGATACATCCAAAATAACGTGCAACAGAAAGAACAAACTATACTGTAGATGATTTTAAGAGAGAAACTTACACAGAAATTGAACAGTGAAAAGCATAATTTATTCATGAACGTTTCTTATTTGAAGTAACGTGTACTCTAACACTTGCTTGAGTGACATCGTCTTTTATTTCCATTCCTTTGTTTCATGAAAACACAAAAGCAAACTATAAAAAAAAAAAAAAAGCAACATTTCTGAATGCAAAGTACATCAAACCATTTTTGCTGCTTAAAAGAAATCAAACTAGACTGGAAACCTGCTAGAGGCCTGTCTAGTTTTCGGGTACCTACCTTCAGTCTATACTCTACTTTGAGGATTCGGCAGTTCTGGATGGTGGTGCTGATTTCTGTGGGAACGGCTAATACTTTCGACAGATTCTCTCTGGTGGAGGACACTAAAGGCTCTCCCTTCTCCTTCAGTATCTGTGTGGTGTGAACAGCTCTCTGGCCTCCAGCAAAGAAGCTTTGCTTCTGGTAGATAATGTACTTTGGCACAATTTTTCGAGTTGAGCTGTTTACAATCTCACCGTTGACGACTAGCCTTTCACCTGTTTGAGATATAAACATTGTATTACAGCTTGTCAAATCAATCAAAGCCATCATCTATGTTGTATGATGCTTTTTTTAAATTGATAGATCCATTAATTTACCTAAATTCTGGGTATAATGCTTGGGTTACCTTGCTGGTAGCCTGTCTTTGGCAAGAAAATATTCATCGAAATATTTCCAGAGGCAAAAAATATGACATTTTTGTCTTTACTGCCATGTTGAGGTGCCTGCAGAGGATGAATGTTTTAGTGTTGCTTACTTAACATTCATAAAGTTACAGTTACATCTGTTAATCTGTTCATGTTAATCTCACCTTTACAGAGTAATTTTTTCTGTGTTTCGACAACAGGACAATGTAGTCTTTAGGCCCTTTTACCATTAAAATTGTCATCATTGAGTTTTATTATTATTATTGGGCCACAGATGTCTGTATTGTGTTTCATGAATTAAAATGAGGCTTTGAATATTTTCTCTGATCTAACTGATAATAATTGTGATCATACCATCAGTGTTGACTGATCATAATCAGCTCTGGCAACGTAGGTGAACTTTGCTTCAGCTTTGCTCGCCACACGCATAGACCTGCTCAACTTGGCCAAAAGTCGGTAATGGATTTTACCATGAGCACCTTTAAAAGATGAAGGCGGGCCCCTGAGAGAGAGAGAGATTTTTTTTTTTTTTTTGAATAACTAACAGTCTTCAGAGAGAAAAACTTGCATAATATGATAGATCAATATTTCAACATACAGGATATAGCGCATTGAAATATTGGCTGCATTGCAAAAAGTAACAGACTGTTTCAAAGATTGATTTTCTCTCAGGAATCAATAAGTATATACTGTCTATCTATAAGTCACATCTATCAACCAGACTGAATTCCTGCAGGACAAGAAGATGATGACTTACTGGTAGGGAAGCTGAAAAGCAAAAGGGAAGACATGTCTACCAGCCACAAGAGTAACAGAGCCTAGCAAAAAGATATAGACACATTACATAATGTTGTCCTGTTTGATGTATTTAATAATACATTACCATTCAAATGTTTGTGGCTGATGAGATTTTTTAAAATGTTTTTGAAAGAAGTCTCTTATACTGACCAAGGCTGCATTCATTTGATGAAAAAATACAAAAACAGTAATACTGTGAAATATTACAACAATTTTTCTATTTTTAATATATTTTAAAATGTAATTTATTCCTATGATGGCAAAGCTGAATTTTTCGCAGCCATTGCTCACATAAATAATTCTAATATGCTGATTTTGTGCTCAAAGGAATATTTCTTATTATTATCAATGTTGAAAATAGTTGTGCTGCATAATATTTTTTTTGTGTAAACGATACATTTTTTCAGGATTATTTGAAAAATAGAAAGTTGAAAAGAACAGCATTTAAATGAAATAGAAATATTTTTGAAATACTTTAGTAATATTATGTGTCTTTACTCTCACATTTGATCGATTTAATGTGCCCTTGCTGAATAAAAGTATTATTTTTTAAACAATAAACATAAAAAAAAATCTTACTGACCTAAACTTTGAAACAGTTTACCTACAAATAACATACACAGACCACATTACATAATCATAATGTTGTTCAGTATTTTATGTTTTTCTATTTATAACTATATATAGTCTTTGTATTGCACTACACTACATGACTTTAAATTTAAAGATTGTTTTGAACAGATGAATGTTTATAACATCATCTGTCACATCAAATATTACCATCTGTGTTATCCTCCGGTAAGACAGATTGAGTTTGTGAGAAATACTTTTATATATATATATATATATATATGTATATATATATTGCATTTTTGCTTATTTTATTCATGCTTTTATATTTTTGAAAATAAATAATTGTTTATTGTATCTGATACAAACGTGTGAACAAAACTAGTGCTCATTGCTTATATTCATTTCAGATATTCATTTTGGCCAGATCTTGGTGCAGTCCTGCCTCCAACTCTTTGGATGAGGTCCCGTCATGTAGAGGCAGTACAATCAACGGGAGTTTAATCACAGGGTTTTTAGTGAATGATACATCCAAAATAACCTGCAACAGAAAGAACAAACTATACTGTAGATGATTTTAAGAGAGAAACTTACACAGAAATTGAACAGTGAAAAGCATAATTTATTCATGAACGTTTCTTATTTGAAGTAACGTGTACTCTAACACTTGCTTGAGTGACATCGTCTTTTATTTCCATTCCTTTGTTTCATGAGAACACAAAAGCAGACTATAAAAAAATCGGCAACATTCCTGAATACAAAGTACATTAAACCCTTTTTGCTGCTGAAAAGAAATCAAACTCTTTTGGAAATCTGCTAGAGGCCTGTTGTTTTCTGGTACCTACCTTCAGTCTATACTCGACTTTGAGGATTCTGCAGTTCTGGATGGTGGTGCTGATTTCTGTGGGAACGGCTAATACTTTCGACAGATTCTCTCTGGTGGAGGACACTAAAGGCTCTCCCTTCTCCTTCAGTATCTGTGTGGTGTGAACAGCTCTCTGGCCTCCAGCAAAGAAGCTTTGCTTCTGGTAGATAATGTACTTTGGCACAATTTTTCGAGTTGAGCTGTTTACAATCTCACCGTTGACGACTAGCCTTTCACCTGTTTGAGATATAAACATTGTATTACAGCTTGTCAAATCAATCAAAGCCATCATCTATGTTGTATGATGCTTTTTTTAAATTGATAGATCCATTAATTTACCTAAATTCTGGGTATAATGCTTGGGTTACCTTGCTGGTAGCCTGTCTTTGGCAAGAAAATATTCATCGAAATATTTCCAGAGGCAAAAAATATGACATTTTTGTCTTTACTGCCATGTTGAGGTGCCTGCAGAGGATGAATGTTTTAGTGTTGCTTACTTAACATTCATAAAGTTACAGTTACATCTGTTAATCTGTTCATGTTAATCTCACCTTTACAGAGTAATTTTTTCTGTGTTTCGACAACAGGACAATGTAGTCTTTAGGCCCTTTTACCATTAAAATTGTCATCATTGAGTTTTATTATTATTATTGGGCCACAGATGTCTGTATTGTGTTTCATGAATTAAAATGAGGCTTTGAATATTTTCTCTGATCTAACTGATAATAATTGTGATCATACCATCAGTGTTGACTGATCATAATCAGCTCTGGCAACGTAGGTGAACTTTGCTTCAGCTTTGCTCGCCACACGCATAGACCTGCTCAACTTGGCCAAAAGTCGGTAATGGATTTTACCATGAGCACCTTTAAAAGATGAAGGCGGGCCCCTGAGAGAGAGAGAGATTTTTTTTTTTTTTTTGAATAACTAACAGTCTTCAGAGAGAAAAACTTGCATAATATGATAGATCAATATTTCAACATACAGGATATAGCGCATTGAAATATTGGCTGCATTGCAAAAAGTAACAGACTGTTTCAAAGATTGATTTTCTCTCAGGAATCAATAAGTATATACTGTCTATCTATAAGTCACATCTATCAACCAGACTGAATTCCTGCAGGACAAGAAGATGATGACTTACTGGTAGGGAAGCTGAAAAGCAAAAGGGAAGACATGTCTACCAGCCACAAGAGTAACAGAGCCTAGCAAAAAGATATAGACACATTACATAATGTTGTCCTGTTTGATGTATTTAATAATACATTACCATTCAAATGTTTGTGGCTGATGAGATTTTTTAAAATGTTTTTGAAAGAAGTCTCTTATACTGACCAAGGCTGCATTCATTTGATGAAAAAATACAAAAACAGTAATACTGTGAAATATTACAACAATTTTTCTATTTTTAATATATTTTAAAATGTAATTTATTCCTATGATGGCAAAGCTGAATTTTTCGCAGCCATTGCTCACATAAATAATTCTAATGTGCTGATTTTGTGCTCAAAGGAATATTTCTTATTATTATCAATGTTGAAAATAGTTGTGCTGCATAATATTTTTTTTGTGTAAACGATACATTTTTTCAGGATTATTTGAAAAATAGAAAGTTGAAAAGAACAGCATTTAAATGAAATAGAAATATTTTTGAAATACTTTAGTAATATTATGTGTCTTTACTCTCACATTTGATCGATTTAATGTGCCCTTGCTGAATAAAAGTATTATTTTTTAAACAATAAACATAAAAAAAAATCTTACTGACCTAAACTTTGAAACAGTTTACCTACAAATAACATACACAGACCACATTACATAATCATAATGTTGTTCAGTATTTTATGTTTTTCTATTTATAACTATATATAGTCTTTGTATTGCACTACACTACATGACTTTAAATTTAAAGATTGTTTTGAACAGATGAATGTTTATAACATCATCTGTCACATCAAATATTACCATCTGTGTTATCCTCCGGTAAGACAGATTGAGTTTGTGAGAAATACTTTTCTTTATCCCAGTACGTCACACTCTCTTCCCCGTGTGACTCAGTCCATGACACATCAGCCTTGCCTTTCACCTTGACAGTCAGAGCCTTGATTTTGGTTTCCTTTGACACCTCCATGATAACTCTGCCCGCCAAAGTATCCCCATTGCTGAAGGTGTTGCGATCATTTAAGGCATCATACTCAATGGCGAAGTTCCGGATTGTCATTTCCTGGGAGAGCAGGTTAAGTCTTAATTTGTATTGCTGCTGTAAGTGTACTTGTACGATGCCTGGAGTTGTAATTATACTGTTTTCTATATCCGTCTTTTAAAAATACACCTGTTGGCATCTCTCTGACAGAGGGCTCACCAAACTGGCTCGACAGGTTTCTCCTTGAAAAGACACACTTCTTGTCAACAGGTCTAACATGTAAACTGAAAGTGAACCACACAGTAAAATGAAAGAGCTGGATGTATTTCTATGGTGTCAGAGACCAAAGAGTCTATTGGGAAAATCCATTTTTAGAGCATGGCAGCATAAACAGCGGCCTTGAGAGGCAGGAAACATGAAGAGCTGTGAACATGGTTCATAAAAAAACAAAGATCCCTCTGCTCTCGGTGCACCTGCTCTCCAAACCTGAGCTTTAATTAGCGTAGTACATCATGGATGTGTGCTTTGTGGTTGAAGAGAATTTTAACCACAATCACTGTCTATTGTGTCATATAATTGCCCTTATTTATTCGAACATACTCTGTGTTAACAAATGTCTATGAATTTTAGCAATTAGGTATTGTTAAGATGACAGTGAGTGAATGTTGTTGAAGTGTTGAATGGAAATATGTTGGATGAAATCTCAACAGGATTTCTAAGTGGCAGATTCTTTTTGGTGTGAGTCATTTTCTACTTTTTGCAATTACATAATACATATATGATGGCAATGAAATTGTTAATAATGAAGGGACTTAATAAGTTGAATAAGTTAAAAGCTATTCTTGGTCACTAAATCCTGCTGCTTTATAATAGTTTTAAAAATTGTATTCTTCATCTGTCTTTTTTTTTTTTTTTTGCCCATCAGAAAAATATGACTCCCATCTGTTAGCAAGTACGCTTGATTTTAAAACATTTATAGTTTATTTTATGGTTTTAGTTGCATATATGTGAGTGGAGGGAATATGGGTCAGTGGAGAATATTGCAGTTCACATATACTGTATATTGTTTCATATTATCCATTATTGAAGAATCTGCCTTTTTAGAATTTGATTAAAATGTAGGTATTCTATTAGATTCCATCATTAAACAGTTAGTTTATAATATTACGACATCATCAAAATCTAAATGAATTTCTTTCTGTTGTTGAATAATTCCATTGCCTCTGGACATTGCGATACTTGTATGTGTTGATGAACTGCTTAAATGTGCTTGTTGCATAGAAGTGAGTGATACATACAAATTTATTTGTATGTGTGTATGTATGTATGTATTTATTTATTTATTGAGAAATCTATCTTTTTAGTTTTTTTTTTAAATTGTAGGCTAAGTAGTTGGTTTTTAGACATCATCAAAATCTAAATTAATTTTATTTCTTTTGTCGCACATTTCAAATACCTCCATTTGACATACTTAAAAAGGAAAAGTCAACAAGGTCAATTGCTTTCATAATGTGTTTAATAGTGGATTAACCTTACAAATGTGTGGGAATCAGTGACAAGATCCATGACATCAGTGTAATGTATGGAAAGGAAGTCATCTTATGTTCCACACCGATAATATCAGCGTTACCTCTGAAGCTATATGCAAGAAGGGTGATATTTAAGTCTATAGATTTTTTTAAAATAGCCAAACACACTCACTTACGTCTGTAACATGATTCTAAGCAGATATTGTCATGGGTATTCAAGGGCAGGGTCATTACTCATGACTAATATATGTTTCACATTCAGGTCTTCATTAAATACAGATTAGAATGAACAGTTGACCTGATCCTCAATTAAATGTTTTTCAAATGTATTTGTTATTATATTTATTGGGAATCACTGAAGCAGGATGACGTGTCAAAATATGTAAGGTTTGAAGCAAAATGATTGGATGTTTATAGCCTCTAGACATTGTAATAAGTTAACGAAAGAACATTCATGAATTGACATAATGTCAACATAGATATCAGGCAGGATTTTTTAATTGCTTTAATATAATACAGTTAT